GCTTTCATCCTTCCATTCTTCCATCGGTTTCCCCTTCCCAAGGGGTTCCGTCGGTTGATGTTCATGTCGCCAATCTGAGAAAGTTGTGGGATCAGACTCGACGAATTCTTCTTCAGAATTCCATGGTGTTCAAACGACACGCTGACAAACGGAGACGGGTGGCTCCGGTTTTTGCCCCGGGTGATAGGGTGTGGTTGAGTACCAGAAACATCCGCTTGAAGGTTCCTTCCATGAAATTTGCCCCTCGTTACATAGGCCCTTACAAGGTTCTGTGTCGGATTAACCCGGTTGCATATCGTCTTGCCCTTCCGCCTGCCCTGCGCATCCCTAACTCTTTTCATGTTTCTTTATTGAAGCCTTTGGTTTGCAACAGATTTTCCTCCCCTGAGTCCTCCCCTCTCGCTGTCCAGGTTGAGGGTCAGGAGGAATATGAAATCAAATCCATTCTCGATTCTCGTATTTCTCGGGGGAAGTTGCAATATCTTGTTGACTGGAAGGGGTATGGGCCTGAAGAAAGGTCTTGGGTGGTCCATGAAAATGTGCATGCCCCTCGTCTCCTCCGGGCATTTCATGCTCGTTTTCCGTTCCGCCCCGGTTCCTTCCGCCCGGTGGGCGTTTCTGAGAGGGGGGGTACTGTCAGGGTACCTTTGGTGTCTACCTCGGAGGAGGTTAGACACCTAGACGTCCATCCTCCCAGGGGGGCTGACTCACCCGATCCTTGCACTCCTCCCGGTCGTTTACACGCCGGCCGCGATAGCTCCGCCTCCTTTTATGACGCGGCGCTCAGTAGCCGACGTCAGGACGGCAATCACGTTCCGACCCGTCAATCACAGCAACCAAGTGCCGAACAACCAATCAGGACCCGTTGGGGGCGGAGCCAACAGTTAAAGAGCCAAGGTATAAAAGAGGGTTCTGTGGAATGATTCATTGCCCTGTCGTGGTTCTAGCTAGTCTGGTCACTCAGTGCAATTACCTCTATTGTCTTTTGGTTCCTGACTCGGCTTGTACTTTGACCCTGCTTTCCTCTCTTGTCCTTTTGACTCGGCTTGTCTCTCGCTTACCTGATCTCTCGTTCCCTCGACCTCGGCTTGTCTCTGACTATTCTTTTGCTTTCTCCTTACGTTAGTCCGGCCATTCTAAGGTCCGGTATACGTACCTATCCCCTGTTTGTATTCTGCGTGTTGGATCCCTGTCACGATCCTGACACATCAGCCGGAAACTATTACCTAGAGAAGTGAGCTACGCCGCCATCGAGAAGGAGTGCCTGGCTGTGGTGTGGGCCTTAAAGAAATTACAACCCTATATGTATGGACAGTCCTTTGCTTTGCTCACGTATCACAACCCGTTGGTATGGTTAAACCAGGTGGCGGGGGACAATGCCAGGCTGCTGTGCTGGAGTAACATCCAGTACTGCCCGGGAAAACAGAATGGCAAGCTGACGGGTTGTCCAGACAAACTGAACGCCCGGTCATCCCCAAGCTGATCCGTGTTGGATCAGACTGTATATGCCGGCTTGTGGGCAAGGGGGAGCAGTGTGGCGGATGGAATTGGACTGTCCTCAAGGGTTATGTTAAAAGTGCAATTCGTGTGTTTATTCTCATGTATAACTAAAATTGTATGTAGCATTCTTATGTTTGTTCGTTAGTTTTCATCCGTATTCCATACGAATGAAAACTACCGAACAACCAGACCACCCAGGAATAAGTGTGCCTCCAATTACTGTTCGCAACAATGTTGTAAACGGGTAATTGGTAATTCGTGTAATGTGTGTTTTGTCCTCTGGGTGGCCGCCATTCGGGAAACGAACACGTGGCGGCGGCCATTTTAAAACTCCCGAACAGCGGTGTTTTGCCGTCGAGTGTCTGGAACCCAAATCGGACACTCGGCTAGGCAAACACCGCTGAGACCTCCACACTGCCCATAAATTCGTGTAGAAACTACCGAACGGCTACCTGTTCGGTAGACAGAAACACACGAACAAAGGGATTCATTCGAATCCTCTCCAGTCTCCATAGCCCAAGTCATTCGTGCTGTTTATTCCCCTTTTCTGTGACCGACCGCAGGGCCAAAATGCATGGAACCAATTTTGGCTGTTACCTCCAGTGCGGTCGGTCTTTTTACTACTTCCACAAATCTCCCGAACCCCTGGTCTGATCTGGGTGATTTTTGGATATGTTCTTCACCTAGATCAGGGCTAACAGGGGATATAATATTTAAAGGGGTACACCTATGTTTAGGGGTACATCCAGAAACCCAGGGAATTTGTCTCCTGCATAATGGGATTATGAATCAGACTAAGGGGAGGGAATGTGTGGGCGGCAACTCATGTATGATTGGCTACTGTAATAATTATTGTAAATCCCTCCCTTGCTTTAAAAGAAGGTGAAGTGATTAAAAGTTCAGTTCTGCTCCTGATGCTGTGTGTCGTCCAGTCATTGGGATTGATGTAGGGATATGGTTGAATTGTTTTGCCTACAATTGGCAAACTATAGCAATCCGCTTTAGATGCATACAATTGGCACACCTTGGAATCTGCTTTAGATGCATACAATTGGCACACCGTGGAAATCCGCTTTAGATGCATACAATTGGCACACTGTGGAAATCCGCTTTACAAGCATACAATTGGAACATTATGGCAATCAGTTTTAGAGGCACAAAATTGGCACACCATGGCAATCCGCTTTAGATGTATACAATTGGCATACCATGGCAATCAGCTTCAGATGCATAAAATTGGTACATCATGGCAATCAGTTTTAGAGGCATTCAATTGGAACATCATGGCAGCTTTAAATACATAAACTTGGCACACCGTGGCAATCAACTTTAGATGCATAAACTTGGTATATCATGGCAATCACTTTTAGATGCATAAACTTGGCACATCGTGGCAATAAGTTTCAGAGGCATACAATTGGCACACCATGGCAATCGGTTTTAAAAGCATATAATTGGAACACCATGGCAATCAACTTTAGATGCATACAATTGGCATAACATGGCAGTTTTAGAGGCATAATTTTGATATATCATGGCAGTTTTAGAGGCAGAAACTTTGCACATCATGGCAATCAGTTTTAGAGACATACAACTGCTTACTCTCAGAATCAGAAGTGCCGTGTCCTGCTCTTTCATTCAGGCACCTCACGTTGATTATCCTAGTGGTAGAACTAATGTAGAGAGGACCCTGGTGCAAGTTTGTTTTCTGGGCCCCCCCTCTAGTGAAAGTGTAGCCAAAAGGTAGACCCCCATCTGTCGGAGAACTTCAACAATGCTATGCCAGATGGAGATCTACCATTTGCACATCATTGCAGGGTTATATTTGTGAGCAGTGTTTGAATGTAAGCATGTTTTTGTATTAAGTATATATATATGGGTGTATTTGTATGTACTGTTGCTATTAGAATGTAGTGGTGTACTTGTTTGTAATGTTTGCTTCTGAATGCAGGGGTGTTTGTAGATCATTTTAGTGTTTTAATGCAGGGGTGTGTTTGTATGTAATATTTGCGTTTGATTGCTGTGTGTGTGTGTGTGCGCGTGTGTGTGTAGTGGATGCGGTGTGTGTATATTGTGTTTATAAAATATACATATACCCAATGTGTGTTTGAATGTAAGCATGTTTTTTGTATGGAGTATGTGTGCAGTGTATATACACACACACAGACACACAAATACACACACTGACACAGCGATACGCACAATGACACCTAGTTTCACCCACACAGATACAGACACTCATGTACACAGATACACACAGACATACAAATACACACACACACTGACACAAAAGGACACGCAGAGACAGGAGGTGAGGGTGACAGTGTGGGAGGGAGGGTGTGTACTGGTAACAGTGTGGGGGGCAGGGTGAGAAAGGTTACAGCGGGCGGGCAGGAAGAAAGGGTTACAGTGGGCAGGCAGGTGGAGAAAGGGTTGCAGTGCGGAGAGGGGGGCAGGGAGAGAAGGGGTTACAGTGTGGGGAGAGGGGCAGGGAGAGAA